CCTGGAAGCCTCGCTTGATCGAGAGATTCTCGCCTGAGCGAGAAAGGATCACCTGGGAGGGTGAAATCCTGGACTATACTGGAGGATTCTCGCCTGAGCGAGAGTTGTCTCGCCTAGGCGAGAAATGGCAATTTTGGGCTGTTGACACAGTGTAATCGATTACACACTCCTGGTAATCGATTATATGCTGATAAACTAATCAGACCTGTGCATCTAACACAGTGTAATCGATTACACAGTCCTGGCAATCGATTACACAGTCCTGGTAATCGATTACATGATGATTAAAAGCGTCAGATATGTACATCTGACACAATGTAATCGATTACACCATGTTGGTAATCGATTACATCGCGACGATGCCTTTGTAATTTACACTGTGTAATCGATTACACACTTATGGTAATCGATTACATCGTATTAATGTAATCGATTACACCATGTTGGTAATCGATTACATAGCGACGATGCCTCTATAATTTACACAGTGTAATCGATTACACTATACTTGTAATCGATTACACTTATCGCAGTTTCTATAAAATAGAAACCCAAAACACATTTTAGGGTTAGAACTTCGAAGAGAAGAGAGAGATGAGAGCTTTTCAAGAGCAAGGAGCCTTAGGACTCATCTTGGAACTTGAGAAGAGGTAAACCTCATGTTACTAACTCTTCTTCTTCCTCTCTAACTTGTTTTGGGTATGTTGGATTTATTTTCAAAACATGAGAAACCATGGAAACTCATTCTTTAGAGTTATGGTTCATTTTATGTTGTTTTTATCTTGTAAACTCTTGGTTTAGAGATAGTATCTCAAGAATGGAAAGGGTTGTGGGTTGATTCATGAAAACCCCAAAAACCCTAAAAGTGAAAATGTGGTAAAAGGAGAGAATGAGTAAAATGCTAGAGGTAGAAGATGAGTTTACCCCCAAATATTGAAATATGAGATGTTATGCATGTTTTAGATGGTTGAATATGGATGATGAATATTTTGTATGATTAAATGATGCAATATAAGTTGTTTATGTGATATTTGGAATAAATGACTAACATTGTGTTATGTGGTGGGATGAGGAAAGATCCTAAGGTTGGAGGTGGTGTCGGTAGAACTCGAGAAGTTGCCAAGAACCGAACCCCAATACTCACCAAGGTAAGGATAAGTCTTTAATGTTGCATTTGAAATAGAAAATGTGTATTTTCTGGTTATGCAAAGACTAAGTTGTAAATTACGCATTTAGTATGAACATATATGGGTGTGTTTATACTAAAGTAGGCGTAGATTTACGAAAAAGGAAAATATGGGTATTTTCTGGTTATGAAATGATCGAGTTGTGAATTACGCATTTAGTATGAACATATATGGATGTGTTTATACTAAAGTAGGCGTAGATTTACGGAAGATGGAAAAGGTGTGTGTTTCCTGGCCATGCAATAATTATATTGTAAATCACGTATTAGTATAAACAGATATGGAGTGTTTATACTAAAGATGACGTGGATTTACGGGAAATGATTGATGGCAAATCGATGGAAGTAAAAATATATTTTTAGCTGACCAGAAATGGTTAGCGACTTCGGCCCGAGTTTATGAGGCAACACTTCGGCCCGAGTTTATGAGGCAACACTTCGGCTCGAGTTTATGTAGCAACACTTCGGCCCGAGTTTACGCGGCATGTTTTCTTTATAAAAGAGATGAGAATTTGTTTTTAGCTAACCCTAAGGGGTGTAGCGACTTCGGCTCGATTTTATGTAGCAACACTTCGGCCCGAGTTTACGCGGCATGTTTTCTTTATAAAAGAGATGAGAATTTGTTTTTAGCTAACCCTAAGGGGTGTAGCGACTTCGGCTCGAGTTTATGTAGCAACACTTCGGCCTGAGTTTATGAGGCGTGTTTTATTGGTAAAAAGGATGAGAATCTGCTTTTAGCTAACCTTGAGGGGTGTAGTGACTTTGGCTCAAGTTATGCAGCAAGACAAAATGAATTTCGAAAATGGTTTACTAACCCTTTTTCTAATGTGGATTATCTTATAATGACGTTTATTGAATTAACGACTTACTCCTTTGTGTGTTTTGTACTTTTGTCATTGATAATCCCATTGCAGGTAAATAGACGAATGGAGTATGCTAGTTCGGGAGCTTTAGGAGCTTTAGACGTTGGATTCACTATTTGCGTTTTTGTACTTTAAATGACTACTTGTGGATTTGAATGATTGTAACCATGACTGACATTTATTTGGGTATTCGTAACCATGGGTATTGTTATATTTGGAGTATTATAACTTTTGGGCTCTTAGTACCCAATGAGAATAATAATGAATGAATTATGTTTTTCCACAATTTAAATTATATGATAATATAATAGGTGTAAGGAGTATTTTTAAGGAATGATTCCTGAAGGTTTTAAGTAAGATGATGAATGTATGTAAGAGGGAATTAAAATGAATGAAAAAAAAAATTCAAGAGTAGAAATCGGGTCGTTACACCCTCTAGGGATGCCAACAAAACAAACACGAATCCTCCCTCCTTAAAGGAAGTCTTGACTCCCTTAGCCGATAATAGCTTCATATCACTGCCCTCATCGGAAATCTCACTCAGACCTCCGAATACAACTGTCTTATCAGAATAATTAAGCATCACATGATTCGCTGACAACCAGTCCATCCCCAGAATTAGATCTAACTAGAACAGTGGTAAGTAGATTAAATCCACGGTAAATGTCCTACCGTTCACCACTACCGGATATCGAGACACAAACGTCGACAACACCACAGATACACTAGTTGAAGTGGATACGACCAAGTCGAAAGGCAACGACTCAGTTTGCAATTTCAGTATATCCACACATTCAACAGATACAAAGGAGTGTGTCAATCCCGAATCAAACAACACTAAAAGAGAAATACTTGTCACCATGCATTTACCTTGGATGAGGCCATCCACATTCTTTGCCTTCGCATCGCTCATGGTAAACACTCGGCCCGTGTTCCTTGCTCTCTCGGTATGAACAACATTTAGCCGCTGACTTAGATTGGGACAAAACCTTTTGATGTGTCCCAACTCCTTGCAGTGGAAACATCTATTTTCTGACCTCAGGCATGTATTCCCATAGTGAGGTTTGCCACACTTGTTGCACAAAGTTTATGAGGTAACACTTCAGCCCGAGTTTATGAGGTAACACTTCGGCCCGAGTTTATGAGGCAACACTTCGGCCCGAGTTTATGAGGCAACACTTCGGCCCGAGTTTATGAGGCAACACTTCGGCCCGAGCTTATGAGGCAACACTTCGGCCCGAGCTTATGAGGCAACACTTCGGCCCGAGTTTATGAGGCAACACTTCGGCCCGAGTTTATGAGGCAACACTTCGGCCCGAGTTTATGAGGCAACACTTCGGCCCGAGTTTACGCGGCATGTTTTCTTTATAAAAGAGATGAAAATTTGTTTTTAGCTAACCCTAAGGGGTGTAGCGACTTCGGCTCGAGTTTATGTAGCAACACTTCAGCCCGAGTTTACGCGGCATGTTTTCTTTATAAAAGAGATGAGAATTTGTTTTTAGCTAACCCTAAGGGGTTAAGCGACTTCGGCTCGAGTTTATGTAGCAACACTTCGGCCCGAGTTTACGCGGCATGTTTTCTTTATAAAGGAGATGAGAATTTGTTTTTAGCTAACCCTAAGGGGTGTAGCGACTTCGGCTCGAGTTTATGTAGCAACACTTCGGCCCGAGTTTATGAGGCGTGTTTTATTGCTAAAAAGGATGAGAATCTGCTTTTAGCTAACCCTGAGGGGTGTAGTGACTTTGGCTCAAGTAATGCAGCAAGACAAAATGAATTTCGGAAATGGTTTACTAACCCTTTTTCTAATGTGGATTATCTTTTAATGACTTTTATTGAATTAACGACTTACTCCTTTGTGTGTTTTATACTTTTGTCATTGATAATCCCATTGCAGGTAAATAGATGAATGAAGTATGCTAGGTCGGGAGCTTTAGGAGCTTTAGACTTCGGATTCACTATTTATGTTTTTGTATCTTAAATGACTACTTGCGGATTTAAATGATTGTAATCATAGCTAACCATTAGTCGGATATTTGTAATTGGCTGTATGGTTATTTCGGAGAACTATACTTAAGGGGTCTCATTATCCGTGAGACATTACGAATATGAATTATGTTTTTCTGTCAAATCAAGTGTAGGTGATTATGGAATTTGAAAGTATGATAGTAAGTGTAGGAAAATGCATGCAAAATGATTAAAATGAATGAAAAATTTTCAAGGGTAGAAAATCGGGTCGTTACAGAATCTCACAGCCTGCCCAGGCTTTCTCTCGCTCAAGCGACCCATTCCTTGCTTGGGTGAGACTCCCAGAATTTCCAAATTCGAAACATTGATCCTCTCGCTTGGGCGAGATCCTCTCGCTGAAGCGAGAATCTAGCAGTATGCCCCATTCTTCAGGACTGTTACCTAATTTCAAGGAGGATAAATTTGGGGTGTTACAAGCAGGATATCTCCTAACATGACAGGCACCCCTAAAAAAAGATGACAACATATGCGATGGGTAAGTCAACTTTGTTGATAAAAAAGTTATTTAATAATTATAGCATTAAATATTAAATGAATTTAATATATATATATATATGGATATAATCTATTTTTATTTATATTGCTTGGGTCAATGATAGTATTATAGTAAACATATGAGTCATGAATGTTACAATGACAATACAAAAATTGTCTATACTATCAGTACGTAAATATTAATTATGAATTAATTTAGTTTCATCACACACCTCTATTTTGGAGATAAAAAATATGATAATAGGATTGATTCTCCTTTCCAAATTATTAAACAACAATTATTTTATTGTATTAGTTCCATTTTTGTTTGTATGTGCATTGTGAATATTTTTCTCCCATTTATATCTCTATTATATGCATTATTTAATGTTTGATTGATTCATGAAGTAGTTGACAACATTAGGGAACACAAGAAGTTAAAAATACATAAGAAAAGTGATGGTTCAAGTAGCTTGGCTAGCTAGGCTATAATGGGATGAAAGTGCAGTAGCATGTGATCCCTCCACTGTTAGGAGCCAGAGGTGCTCGCTGCTCTGTGAAACCAACCTCACGCTATGCCCTCTTGTCTAGGAGTCATGACACCTGAGCCTTAGCCCAAGCATCATGCCTCAACTATCAACTTGGAGTGGGTAGAGTGGGCACGCCAACATGGTGCAACTACCAACCTAGCAGAGCACATCCATAGCCATGTTCCATCACCTTGATGCCCCCACTTGGGTTACAAGCTAGAGTTACCCAGCTCGGAAAACTCACATGCTTGTTAGAGATTTATAAATACTGAATTGTAACATATCTTGGACGATGTGGGACTTGTCAATGTAATGACTAGTACTGAAATCTATTATTTTTCAATTGTCAAAATACTGGCTTATAGTTACCGGTAACTATTTTATTTGATTCTACCCAAAATCCATGGATAAGTAGGACTCATGAAAATTAATAGATCATTCAACACAAACAAGGGAAATGACAAAAGTATCATTTTTGTTCCTCGCAGAACATGTTAAAAATATTTATACATGATAAAAATTTAATAGACTAAACACAAACTCTTATCCTTATATTATCTTCATCACTATAATTATATTAGTTGCCTTCATCACTATCATCACCACCGTCGCCACTGCCAAAACAACTACCACATTTGTATCTATTGTCATTTTTAAAGCAAACACGAGGATCGCTAGTGCAAACACCATAGACATGACTACCATTGCTACTGTTATTTCCAATGCTACCTACACCATTGTCGTATGCACCATGACCTCCTAAATCATCACCATCACCAGTGAAACGTATCTTTTTTACATTTTATATAGTTTTGTTTGCCCAAAAGAGTGATTCCACTATATTGAAAAGACTGTTTTCCAGCTTGGTAAGATATATGAGAGACATTAGACATAGTATCATGTTGTCCAATATTATATACAGACACATTGGGAATGTATTAATTTGGGTATTCTAACATTGTTCGTCAACCATCAAAGAATAAATAGAATAAAAGACGTGTTATTACTTAGTTAATCGAATTTTGTTTATATACTATTGTTATCACACAATATAATCAATCACACCTTTGATATTGAAAAACTAATTACATTACTTCTCCATGTTTTAAAACATCAGTTTAAGGCAAGATATATATTTTCTCCTCTTTAAATAATATTGTTAACGTACTTATCAACATTAATTTAATCTAATCGAAGAAACCTAGTTGTACCCCTTTTCACAACGACAGTACACTAATTAGACATTGGATGTATATTCACTTTATTGCAGTTGCAAAGAAAGCAAAGCATTCATAAAAATTACATTATAATAAATATTAATTAATATCGAGCATGATATCAATTAACATGACAGACACCCCCTCAAAAAAGATGACAACATATGCAATGGGTAAGTCAAATTTGTTGATAAAAAAAAGTTATTTAATAAATATATCATTAAAAAGAAACAACGGGGCGGGTCTGGGTAATACACTACTCGAACCGATCCAGATTCATTGTCATCCCTACTTGTATTGGACTTCAATTAAGGTCACCATGACTTGTTGTCATGCCTTTTTGACCCTTCTTATTCTTGCCCTTATCATGGTCCTCCAAAATTTTGGAGTTCTTTGTGTTGCTTATTCTTGTCAATCTCTGTAACATCCCAACAATTACTTTTCTTGAGTATTGTGGATATCAGGAAGTTTGGGAGCTACTGGGCGATTCTTGCTTGAGTGAGAATCAGCTCGCCCAAGCGAGGGACTCAGAGTTGCTCTCAGGCATTTTCTGGGATTCTCGCCCGAGCGAAAGGGAACTCGCTTGAGCGAGAGAAATGGTGTTAAGGCTGGACGAATCTCGCTTGGGCGAGAAAGCGTCGCTTGAGCGAGAGCATAAGTTCTTGAGTGATGCAAAGAGTCGTGGGTTCTCGCCCAAGCGAGCTTATTCTCGCTTGAGCGAGAGTCCGAAATCCTAAAACCTAAAATAGAAGTCCCAAGTGAGGATTGAGTGATTATTTTCGAAAACCAAGAGAAGAGGAGCGGTTAGGAGAATTGTACAACCTTAGAGTCAAAGAAAAGATCGGAGAAGAGGTAAATCACTTAAATTAGCCTTTTATGGTTGAATGTAATGATTTTTGGATTGGGTATCTTCTCCATGTTTAGGGATAAAACCCCATAAACTCTCTCTTGGAATTGTGGTTCGTTTTGCCTTGGAAAACCTTGTAAAACTCACAGTGTATGAGTTGTTTTCGAAATGGGTGTGTGGGAAGTTGTTTTCAAAACCATAGAGTTATTTGAAATGTGCTGCGATTGTTGTTGTTTTGGGTTGAAAGACCCTAAGGTTGGAGGAGATGGCGGAGAACACAACTGACCATTAGTGTAAAGCTTTAGCGAATACTCAGGTGAGGGAGCAACATTAAACTTTGTGGTATTAGAATCACGACATTGGAAACTCCAACGACACTCACTAGTTGGAGGATTTCAATTGGTTAACACGATTAAGCGGGAAATCTCATGAGTTTCCTATTTAACCGCGTTAATCTTACTGATGTGAATAGTACGTTGACTATGATGGATATTTGACCTGCCTTCGTGGTATGGATATTTGACCTGCCTTCGTGGTATGAATATTTGACATGCCTTCGTGATATGGATATTTGATCTGCCTTCGTGGTATGGATATTTGACTTGCCTTCGTGGTATGGATATTTGATCTGCCTTCGTGGTATGGATATTTGACCTGCCTTTGTGGTATGGATAATTGACCTGCCTTTGTGGTATGGATATTTGACATACCTTCATGGTATGGGGTTTGACTTGCCCTTGTGGTATGGATTTTCGATTTTGGTTTGATGACATGGAGTTGATTGCACCATGGATTTTATTTTATGGATATGAGTAATGGTCTATTGAGGATTATGAGTGTGTTTGTGCTAGAATGATTTGTATAATTCCTTTTTGTAATTTTCTAATGTTATTATTCTATTTAAATCCACCATGTTATATATTGCATGAATTTAATGACTGACTCTCTCTATATTATCTTGTTTACTCAATCTGTGGTAATCGGATTGTAGGTGGAGCCAAGGAATAGGAGACTTCAAAGTTTTTGGAGTAATTCATCTTGCATTGGATTGTGTGTGTGTTTCTTTTGTTATTCTAAACTATTGTAATTGTTGATATCAGACCCATTCATGGGAGTTTCCATCTACGACTTGATGTTAGTTTAATGGACTATTAAGTGAAGAAACTAGTATTGTGGAATTACTGTACTGTTTTTCCTTATATTGCTTTATTTATACTTTTGGAGTATATTTGGTTGAAGTGGACTTTTATGGGATTATATCTACTAAGAACAATATATGTTAGAAAATGATTGAAATTTTTCCGTGTAATAAAATGAGGCGTTACAATCTCCACACTACTCATGAACAAGTCTTATTAGTTCCAATTGTTGTAATGCATGCTTATCCAATTCTCAATATTTTATTCATGTCATATATTTGGACAAAGTTTTGTTGTGAAATGCAGACCTCACTTATGTGATTATAATGTCTAGAATGTGACTAATCTTTGCCAACTAGTTGGAAAACTTTAAATGGAAAAATAAATATAATATAACAATACTTATTAATATGATGATATTTGAATAAAATAAAAAAATTAGAAACTAATTTTTCCAATTTATATTATTGAGAAAAATAAGAATGTTTTGGCTTTGGAAAATCATTTGAAGGCTTAAAAAGTATATGATTAGTAAGTGTTATATCTATATATTGTCGATGCAAAAATTTGTATACAATCAATATATTCAGTAGTATATATGGCAAGAGAGAAGTTGGAGGCAATTTCATCAGCATGTAGCCAGGAATGGAGAACAAGTTTCCCAATACATGAGAAGGGAACTTGCTATTCAAATTGTCCATTGCTTATAGGAACAATGACAATAGTAGAAGGACTCAATCATAAAATGAATAAGAGTTGAGTTTAATGGGTCGTTTGCGAATTCAGTTTTGCATTGGAAGAAATATTATGAAAATGAAAAATTTTAAAGTCATGAAATACACTTATGAGATAACTCTAATTAAAATCTTTCGTTTCCATTCATTTTTCTTCCCAAAAAAATTCAACTCAGCAAACTAAAATTAAAGGTTGTTCATGTTTTGACTTTGTAATATATTTAGATGTTGTGGTCATGGGTCTACTTTGAATCCTTCCGAGAAGGGGCAAGGTGATATTACTTAACTTTTAATTTTTTTAGTTGTTTCTAAGAGGTAATGAAGTTTTGTGTTTTCCCCAATAGTAAAACTTCATCATCCTATTCCTCTTTAACTCCTTCATTGGTGTCAATAACTTTTAGAGGAACCTAAGATGATAAATGACATATTTAAAATAAAAATAAATTTAATTGAATTTTTTTTATGTTTATTATATTTATTTGTATAAATCATAATGAGTGTAGCATATGATCTTTTAGAAAGCATATGTATATCCTTGGAAAATCAATTGTAATTTTATTTATGATTCAAGTTCCTTATTAAAATGTATTAATATAATTTATTGGTCAATAAGAAAAAATGACATCAATTTGATTATTTGTCTCAAATATAAGAAAGTTTGAATATATGTATATTTTAAAAACATATATTAAAGTAATTATTTTTAATGTTTATGAATGAATTACTAAATAAATTTGAATTATTGTGAAAATTTTGTATAAAAGATCCTTATGATAACTTTTTTAATCCAAAAAAGTTGAATAAATGTAAAGGAATATATAGAAAGTTATGAGTTAGTAATAATGGCTATTTCATTTTTCCACCAATCATATATATATATATATATATATATATATATATATATATATATATATATATATATATATATATGTATATATATATATATATATATATATATAATCATGGTAAAAGTTTATTTATATTCAACATCCTTTTCCACCATTTTTATTTTATTTAATATTTAAAAATTAATAGTAATTATATTAAAAATTGGATGATACAAAGATAATGTAAAAATATTAGGTGTTACACCTTTTTGAACCTGACATGATGAGATATATAGGGAGGGATAGTTTGGGCTAGGTTTTTGGTTTTGGCTCTTTTTTTTTTCTTTTTTTTTTCCAAGTTCCAATGGTGCAAAGTGCAAAAGATGTATCATTTGCTTCATGTTAAATTAACTTAGCCTGGTTATAAGTTCTATGACTTTTTAAGACAAATTTATGAATGGTAAGAAAACAC